ATGACTATGTGTACATGGACACATAGGGGTTGATTTACTAAAGGTAAATAGACAGTGCACTCTACAAGTGCAGTTGCTCTAGGGCTTAGTAAGTGAGGGGAAGGTCTGCTGACTTCCATCATCCAATCATATGCAAGCAAAAATGCAGTTTTCCCTTGCATGTGATTGGATATTCTTTGTAAAGTGAAGCTTTACCTCATTTAGAAAGCTCTGGAGCTATGACACTTGCAAAATGCACAATCTATTTTCCTTTAGTAGATGGACCCACTAGGCTAACATGGAGGGGTGTTTAGAGGCAGAAAAAAATGCCAATCATCTCTAAATAACTTTTTTGTGATGCAGTATGCAAGAGGCCTTACAATGATGCCTGGAAAATATTTACATCTGATATTGTATGGAAATGACATACATTCTTCTGTGTAAATTAGCAGTGGTCAACTTAGTACCTGCTAATGCTGGCATGTATAGCGGGTAATTCAGACCATGGTGTCAGGGTGCTATGCACAGTTCAGTAAAGCTGGCCATACATGAATAGAAACACACATGAAAATTCTTACAAAAATCAAAAGGTTGGTCCATCTTACATTCAATGGCCCAATCTTTGTATCGGAAAATTTCCAACAAATTTCAAAAAATGTTTAAAATAATTTTCAACATTAAACAATTTTTTTCTGATCAATTGCTACTACTTCCCCCACTACTTATGCACATTTCACTTACCTTTTTTTTTGAACAATTGACCTATAACAATTAGAAAAATAATTAGCTAAAAAAAATTTGCAGCATGTTCATTTGTTCATTTTCGGTCAACTGTTCCAGCAAGCTCACTAACCATACGAAAATGGAATGATCCAACAATATTTCATTCGATTCTCTATCCATGTATGGCCAGTTTAAGTCATATAAACTTATCAGATATTCATTGATTGTGGTAAGTAAAAGATGGTTTATAGTAGTTTACTCCACGGTACTAATCATAGCTCTTTTAATTGCCTTGAATAATTCCATATTTGTGGTGCAATTCAGTAGACCAGACAAATGGCCTGGGCTAAGCACTAGAAAGGTATACAGTATCTGGACAGTGGATGTCCTGACATTTAATAATATGTTTCTTCAAGAAATATTGCTAGTTTGACAATTTTTTAAATGATTCCTTCTGTTCTCTTGCATCATATCTCATTTAATTTCAGTGTGGGGAAAATAGACAAGTAGAAAATGCAAAACCTTCAATGCCTTGCTAAGTTTTTCAGTGAAGCACAGTAAACTTCACCATTTGCATTGTATGGTTATCTTCCTAATGCAGGTGTCATGCATTAGCTAATGCCTGAAAAATCACATTATAACCAGAAATGTGTGAATGAGCCTTACATCAAATAACATACATTTATTTTCACCATAACAAAGAATATTCTTTTTCTTACTGTATACTGCATTATCAAATTGTCAGAAGTATCTCATTGCTTCATGACTCAGTTTTGTGGAATAATATTTCTTTTATTAGTTTTCTCAGGGGGCAATCAGTTCACATCCTAATGATCTTAACCCACTGTGTCAGTGTTTTCATTCACAACCACACTGTGATTAATATCACATTTGTCACCTGCATGTTGCATATTTATGATCTGCAGTAGGAATTCCCCTCCATTTTTCATGCAATATGGAAATTGCATGGCATGTGTACACACAATCTCTCTCTCCTGTTCAGAAAAAATTATAACAAAACTCCCCACTTCATCTTTCTCATCAGAATTCAGGAGTCACAATAAGAACATTCTCTTTCATCAAGAGGCACTGTAAACATGCACAGAGTCACTTTTGGGCCTGTTAATGGCAAGGTACGATTTCAGACTTTTCAGAATTGAAGTCTTGTTACCTGAATCCCACTGGGTTATGTAAGATGTGTTTACATGCATGCTAATCATTTTAGATCTCTAATAGCACAGATAATATATGCAACACCCTATAATTCTCTACTGCAATGCCATACCTCCCAACTTTCTGAGATGGGAAAGAGGGATGCCCTTTAGTGTAAAGTGAGTATGCAAAAGACGCACCCCTTGCTACTCCTCTAGTTACATAGACAATGAAGACTTAAAGTGGTTGTAAAGGCTGAAGGTTTTTTACCTTCATGCATTCTATGCATAAAGGTATATAACCTTCTGTACGCTGCTCTCCTCACAGTCCCCCAAATACTTACCTGAGCCCAATCTTGATCCAGCGCTCTGCACAGGAGTAGCAGCTCTCCCAAGTCTGCCTCCCTCATTGGCTGAGATACAGCAGTGGGAGCCATTGGCTCTTGCTACTGTCAATCATAGCCAGCGAAGGGGAACATTGGGAGTGAGCATGCACAAGCCCAAATAGCAAGAGGCCTGCTATGGGGGCATTCAGCAAGAGGGTGGGGTCAGGGGTACCGACAATGGACCTGAGAATAAGTGGATTGGGGTTTCTCTGTGCAAAACCATTGCACAGAGAAAGTAAGTATAACATTTAAAAAAAAAACAACTGAGCCTTTATTAATACTTTAAGACCCAACTCCAGGCAACTAAAATGTTCATCCTTGCAGTGGGATTGTGCACTAACTGCAAACGTCAATTGCTTGTTTAGGTCTAGGTGAACTAAAAAAAGTAGATTTACTTACATGCTCCTCCGCTGCTAGACCAGTCTCTGCAGACTCTTCTCTAGCAGTCTAGAATCCTAGTGTTCATAGCCCTGCATGTTTATGATGAGGGAAAGTCCACCACTAGAGCACGGGGGGTGTCATTTGTCAGGGGAGCGGAAGATCAAGTAAGGAAAAGTGTTTTTTTCGCCTAGACAAAAAAAGCAATTAAAGTAGAATTATAAGAATCATCTAACTAATCTTAAAAATGTTCATTCTCCTTCCTAACACCTATTCTGACTATCCTGTGTTAGAATGGTGTATATACTTACCTATTTTCAGGCCGCTCCAGTTCAGTCATGGGATCTGGATCCCCTGAGTCATCCAGTGGTGGCTGCAGGGAGGAGGAAGAAGGGCTGACGTCAGATGGGCCTATAGGTGATGTCATCGTTCCCAGGCTTAACAAGACATTGCCAAGTGATCTCTCTTCTCCAGCCACTTTGGCTTACACACGGGAAACCACATAACTGGACTGGAGCAGCATGAAAATAGATAAGTATAGAGCTCTTTCTTACACAGGTTAGCTAGCATAAGTGTTGGGTGGGGGGAAGGGGAGGAGCATTTTAACTTATGTACTTTAATAATCTAAAAAAAAAATGACTAAACCCACAAATTATATTTTCATCACTATAATAAATGTAGTCCTGTGAGCTGCTTTAGTACCTATACAATTATTAGTGCCAAAATTAATACCAAAAAATATTAAGTGGAAACAGTAGATCACCTACACCATACACATACCCAAACAAACGTGTCATCAACGTGCAAATACAATAAATTAGTGTTGCGCTCCACTGATGAACATCTATACGGTATATATAATCTCCAAACTTATAAGTGTTTTCAAAGATTTATAAATACCTCTTCCAAAATTTTAAGCAAAGTGTCCATAGTACATCCATGATCATACACGCCTTTCAGTGATGTGGGCAAACCAACTTATACTGGATTCATCTTTAATGTGTTGTTGTGACAACCATGCATGCACCTTCATCAGTTGTGCTCTCACCTGGTAAATATGACCAAACCGTTAAGTGTACTTGCTGTTAGCTGTCTATCTCCTTCCACATGACCGCCATGACATCAGAGCCTCTCCTTCTGTTTTCATCACTATGTTTCCTTTATGCTGGCTTTTACAATAATAATTTGATAATAAAAAAGGTGTTTGTAAAAGGTTTACTATGGTATAACCCTTTTTGTAGTTAAGTAGTGCATATTTTATAGAGGTCTATACATCAAAAAGTGGGTCAACTGAGATGTAGTGGTTTCAAAAGATGGACAGTCCCACCATAGATTTTATTCTTGGCCCTATGCATATTTGCAAACATTACTAGAGATTGACATTTTCTTTTGACAGTAACAGATGGCAATGCTCCTTCAGTACCACCTTCTGCATCAATTTTTATATTGACCCTTGTTTATCTGGAAATATGGGGGGAGTGGGACAATTTAAAAAATGGGAAGGTCTTTCATGAAAATGAACACCTGGCAGCTATGTTCCTGCAGACACACAAATGGGCAATATGTCTGTATCCACAATCATATCTTTCTTGATTGGAAATCTCTGTAAATACATACTCCTTCCTCTTTCTTCACTAAGAGCTAATATAACCACAAATACTAAAACTTTCCTTTATCACTCATTTTTGTTAACGTGCACACCATTTCTTGGGTAAGACTTTGTGAGAGAAGAGATCTTTAAAAGAGAATAAAGATGTTAAATTATTGCTTTGATTTTAAGACCTATTGTTTTGGGAAAATGGCTTAGCTACAATTTATTTGGTCTAGTGTCTGAGATTAATCTTTGGACTTTTAGTTAAACTACACAACAATGAGTCCTCTATTTTTCAGTCTGTATTCCCAGCATGACTTTTTAGATGTTAAGTCTAAAGTACAGATGTAATATTTTAACCTAATTCCCCAAATCCACTGATTTATTCATTGGTGTACGACAAGACAGAGTTGGTTTATATGGTCATAACACATTCTGCTGTAAGAAATGTGGAAACTACTACTTTACAGAGCTGGTTGGTTGACAAATTATATTTTTTAACATTAATCAGATTTGAAACTGAACACTGTGGAATATTTGTAAATTATAATACAGTCTATAAAACTGTTTATATACAGGTCTGGAATGTCGTTAGAGTAAAGTTCTAGAAATCTTATTGATTTTTGTGTCCCATTTGAAGAGATTTCTTTATATTTCTGTCCTACTCAAAACTCTACAATCAATACAGAACACTTCTCTGTTGAATTGGCCAAAACGTAAGTAGTGGATGGCCCTGCTGGTGGGACAAAAGTCAGTTTATCAATTTAAAAATTAATTTTATCAAAGGGGCCACATGGAAAGAGATGCAGTCACTGTTTGGGTATTCACAGCTACAAGTCCTGCCAGCTGGCAGGGGAGATTCCTTAACCACCTAGAAAGTCGTTGTGCACTTTTCCAACATGACAATCATCCAAAACACACATCTAAGGCCACTGTTGCTTTTCTGAAGAAGAACAGGGTGAAAGTGATTCATGTTGTCTTATATTAATTGGAGGATGAAGAGTGTATTTATAAATGTATTTAGCTGCAGCAACTAGTCCAACAGTTCTTTTCCAGAGAGATGCATTTAATAAGTACAGTGACAATCCATAAAACAGAGGTACAGACAAGGCAGATGACAGGGTACCCAGAATATTCATGCAATCAACAGAAGCCCTCAGAGGACCCACTATTTCCTGTCACCACTTAACCAAAAGAACCTTCCCTAATATACACATTCTCCCAATTCAGTAAAATGACAAGCACTCTGACTGGCCACTTTTAGTAGCCCCTTTGATCTTCTGGGTGACGGGTAATGCCTTTTGGGCTTGGACAGGTGCAGTCATAAATTTTAATCAAAGTTGTCTAGATATTTCCTAAACAGCATTATTTTACCATTAGATAAACAAGAATGCTATTTACCATACTTAATACCCCTTTTCATGTTATTCGATGGTAGATGATGGTCAAGTCTGACTGAGCAATCTGCATTTGATCACTCTTGCAAATTTGCAAATTACCTCCATTGAAATGCAACAGGTTGGACCCTGAGTGCCAAGGTGATGTTGCATAAAATAGCAAAGTCCTTGGCTATCCTTTTGTTGTGTAAACTACATCTAGCCCAGTCATATGCTGGCCTGTTAAATAACGTGAAAATACACCACATACAGTATATATATCAAATTACAATATCCTACAATTCAGTGGTCAAGTATGTCTCCTAATCAGAACCCAATCGAACACTTATTGGGATTCTGAAGAGACAAGTTGAGCATCACTCTTCATCCAGCATCAAGGCTCTAAAAGAGGTAGTTCTTCTTGAAGAATGGAAAAAGATAGATGTTGCAATATGTCGCCAACTTGTTCATTAGATGCCTAGAAGACTTGTTGCTGTCCTTACAAATCATGGAGGTCATACAAAATACTAGATGGAGTAGTTTATGTTGTGGGGTGTATTCATTTTTCCATCATCTAATTTGAGTAAAATTTAAGATTTTGTAATCTTAGTTACATTATCAACCTTACTTTCATGTAACGAGCTAAACAAATGTTCTATAGAACTTAGTTTTGTCAAAATGTTGGAAATTGTTCTTGACAAGGGTTCCTTTAAATGATTACATTGTGATTATGTATGCATTCCTCTCCAGTGTAGGTAGAGCTTGGTGATCATATCTTGTATTTGTACACATCTGATATTTGATTCAGTGCGAATAGATAGTTCATTACTCAACATCTGGTTTCCTAAACATATATCAGTTCACTAGTTACTATGTTTTATTAGTTGATAAATAGCAGATATAAGCCTGAAAGTTCATTTGTGAAAAAAACCACAGCCGGCCAATGTTTGACTACAAAAAAAATCTTTGAGTGCTGCAGTCTTAGTATACACTTTGTATGTAATTTTATATATATATTTTTTCAAGAGAGTGAAGAGAAAAACTTAAAGTGTTACTAAACCCAGGACCCTGCATTCACTATATCTGGTCTCTCACTACATGGAAATGCAATTATTTTAGCAAATATAAACTGCTAAATACCTTTTCTCATCAGCAGTTAAAGCAGTTTTGTGATTTTTATCAGTGTTCAGCAGAGCACTGGTTAAAGCTTGTAGGAGGAGTTTTCTTTCTGCTCTAGGAGAAATCAGAACACCTGACCTCTGTCTGGACAGTGCTGATTGGCCCTGTGCTGATCACATGCACTCTCCCAAGAACAAAAAAAAATCTCTAGCAATACACACCAAAACAAACTGAGCAAGTGCAGAGAGGGGGACGCTGGAAGAAGGGAAGGATCAGAGAAGTCAGGAATTACAAACAATTCAGCAGCTCCTCTGGGAGAGCTACATATTTATTATGTAGCTCTATATGTTTGAATTCATTTTACTGCAAATTCCTAACCTGCTATATATGCATGCATATTATTTACAAATGCACTTAGAGTGCAGATGGTTGTGAAAATCAAAGATTGAAACAGCAATGACTAAAATTAATATATTGTTACAACTGTGCTATTCTGTGTACATCACTTTAAGAAGTCATCTAGCACCTTTAAGGTTGACTGCTTTTCAAATTATGACAATTCAACAACTAGAATGATTTGGAATGGTGTTTATTTGCATGTGTTGCTATTATTTACATTTCTATTCCAGATATCAGCACACTATTTTTTTTTTTTAAATGTCAGTCTGGTTAAGAGATATTGAATTTGTCAATGCTTTCCAAAATCATTTTGACAAAAATGTAAAAAAATGAAAATCCAGTTCCTAGCTTTGTGACATATAAATAAGTCAAACTAACCTGCTTATGCCATTATTCAATATGATTCACAGAGTTGCATGTTGTATCACACACTAAAATAGTACTTAAAGTGTGCTATTAAAAAGTCCCAGTGCTCTAGAATTGCCCTCTGTCAGCCCTTGTAAAGCATATATCTTTTTTGAGCTACCCCTTTTTTATGTCAAATCTTTATAGTTCAGTCTTGGCATAGCTATTCTTTGCACGAGTGATTTTTTTTTTTTTCTGTTGTAAGGCTGAATGTGTTGTGTTAGAATTCATTGCACCAATGATAGAAGGTATGGTACTCAACATTACATAGCATCTGAAATACTAAATATTCTCAGCTCAGTCACCACCACTTGTCCCACACACCCATCTAATGGCAAACAGTGGACCTCACATTAGACGTTATTCTTTGTTCCAATGCTCGGCCTGCAATCAGTTGTCCTGGCTTTGTTTACATCGGACTGAAGGGGGGGGGGGGGGGGACAGTACATCCTTTGGCTATAACAGGCTATATGAAAATAAATATATTTAAGTGTACTTGGGTGTATATATATATATATATATATATATATATACATATATATATATACACACACACACACACAGTTAGGTCCATACTGTAAATATTTGGACACAGGAACAATTTTAGATTTTTCAGGTATTTCCTAAACATATTCAAGCTATAGTTATATAATGGATATGGGCTGAAAGGGCACTCTCTCAGGTTTAATTTAAGGGTATGTACATCCAAATTAGAGGAAGCGTTTAGGAATTACAACTCTTAAGAGTAGCCACCCCCCCCCCCCCCCCCTTTTTCAGGGGGCCAAAAGTAATTGGACATTTGAATCAAAAGCTGTTTCATGGCGAGCTGTGGGGTACTCCTTCATTATTTCTTCATAAATTAAACAGGTAAAATGTCTGGGGTTGATTCTAAGTGTGGTATTTGCATTTGGAATCTGTTGCTGTGAACCTACATCATGTGTTCAAAGGAGCTGTCCATACAAGTGAAACAGGCCATTGTAAGGCTTCAAAAATGAAACAAATCCATCAGAGAGATAGCAGCAACATTAGGAGTGGCAGCATCAACAGTTTGGTACATTCTGAGGAAAGAAGAACACACTGGTGAGCTCATCAACATAAAAAGCCTTGGATGTCCACAGAAGACAACAGTGGTGGATGATTGCAGGATCCTTTCTATGGTAAAGAAAAACCCATTCCCAACATCCAGACAAGAGAAGGACACTCTCCAGGTGGTGGGGCGTATCAATGTCAAAGTCTACAATCAAGAGAAGACTTCACGAGAGCAAATACAGAGGGTTCACCACAAAGTGCAAACCATTCATAAGTCTGAAAAATAGAACAGCCAGATTAGACTTTGTCAAAATAAATCTAAAAAAGCCAGACCAGTTATGGAAAAGCATTCTTTGGACGGATGAAACGAAGATTAATCTGTACCAGAATGATGGGAAGAAAAAAGTGTGGAGAAGGCTTGGAACAGCTCATGATCCAAAGCACACAAAGTCATCTGTAAAACATGGTGGAAGCAGTGTGATGGCATGGGCATGCATGGCTTTTAGTAGCACTGGGTCATTGGTGTTTATTGATGATGTGACAGAAGACAGAAGCAGCCGGATGAATTCTGTAGTGTTTAGAGATATACTGTCAGCTCAGATTCAGCCAAATGCAGCAAAGTTGATTGGACGGCTCTTCACAGTACAGATAGACAATGATCCAAAACACACTGCAAAAGCAACCCAGGAGCTTTTTAAGAAAAAGAAGTTGAATATTCTGCAATAACCTGATCTCAACCCATTTGAGCATGCATTTAACTTGCTGAAAGCAAAACTAAAGGCAGAAAGACCCACAAACAAAGAAAAACTGAAGACAGCTGCAGTTAGAGCCTGGCAAAGCATCAGAGAGGAAGAAACCCAGTCTTTGGTAATGTCCATGGGTTCCAGACTTCAGGCAGTAATTGCCAGTAAAGGATTCTCAACAAAATATTAAAAATTAGCATTCTATTTATGATTGTATTCATTTGTCCAATTACATTTGAGCCCCTGAAAATGGAGCGACTGTGTATAAAAATGGTTGCAGTTCCTAAAATTTGTACTTGATATTTATGTTCAACCCCTTGAATTAAACCTAAAAGTCTATTCTTCAAATTCATTTGGTTTGTTTCATTTTAATTTTTTCTGGTGGCATACAGAGGCAAAAGTATTAAAATTGTGCCTGTGTCAAAATATATATGGACCTTGCTGTATATACAGGTGAAACTCTCGAAAAATTAGAATATCGTGCAAAAGTTCATTTATTTCAGTAATGCAACTTAAAAGGTGAAATTAATATATGAGATAGACTCATTACATGCAAAGCAAGATAGTTCAAGCTACGATTTGTCATAATTGTGATAATTATGGCTTACAGCTCACGAAAACCCCAAATACACAATCTCAGAAAATTAGAATATTACATGCAATCAATAAAACAAGGATTGTACATAGAACAATATCGGACCTCTGAAAAGTATAAGCATGCATATGTACTCAATGCTTGGTTTGGGCCCCTTTTGCAGCAATTACTGCCTCAATGCGGCGTGGCATGGAAGCTATCAGTCTGTGGCACTGCTGAGGTGTTATGGAAGACCAGGATGCTTCAATAGCGGCCTTCAGCTCTTCTGCATTGTTGGGTCTCATGTCTCTCATCTTTCTCTTGGCAATGCCCCATAGATTCTCTATGGGATTCAGGTCAGGCGAGTTTGCTGGCCAATCAAGCACAGTAATCCCACGGTCATTGAACCAGGTTTTGATGCTTTTGGCAGTGTGGGCAGGTGCCAAGTCCTGCTGGAAAATGAAGTCAGCATCCCCATAAAGTTCATCTGCGGAAGGAAGCATGAAGTGCTCCAAAATCTTCTGGTAGACGGCTGTGTTGACCCTGGACTTAATGAAGCACAGTGGACCAACACAGCAGATGACATGGCTCCCAAATCAACACAGACTGTGGAAATTTCACACTAGACTTCAAGCATCTTGCAGTGTGTGCCTCTCCATTTTCCCTCCATACTCTGGGTCCTTGGTTTCCAAATGAGCTGCAAAAGTTGCTCTCATCAGAAAAGAGGACTTTGGACCAGGTCTGTTTTTCTTTAGCCCAGGTAAGACTCTTCTGACGTTGTTTGTTGTTCAGGAGCGGCTTGACAAGAGGAATGTGACATTTGAAGCCCATGTCCAGGATCCGTTTGTGTGTGGTAGCTCTTGATGCATTGACTCCAGCCTCAGTCCACTCCTTGTGAAAGTCCCCAACACTTTTGAATGGCCTTTTCCTGACAATCCTCTCGGCTGCGGTCATCCACATAACTTTCTATTAATGTGCTTTGATACAGCACTTTGGGAACATCCAACTTCTTTTGCAATTACCTTTTGAGGCTTTCCCTCCTTTTGGAGGGTGTCAATGATGGTTTTCTGCACAACTGTCAGGTCAGCAGTCTTTCCCATGATTGTGATTCCTACTGAACCAGACTGAAAGACCATTTAAAGGCCCAGGAACCCTTTGCAGGTGTTATGGCTTAATTAGCTGATTAGGGACACTTTGAGCCTAGAATATTGCACCTTTTCACAATATTCTAATTTTCTGAGATTGTGGATTTGGGGTTTTCATGAGCTGTAAGCCATAATCATCACAATTATGACAAATCACGGCTCAAACTAT